TTGTCAACAATTGGTCGTAACTTTTATTGCTTTTTAGTGATAATTCAAATATTATATATATATACATGCATATGCAAAACAATTATAACAGTTGTGCACTTTTTATTGTGGATAAAAAATGAATGATTCACAACAATTCTAGAAATGTGCAGAAGAAGAGTGAGTGCAACGGAAATAAAGGTCACGCATCACTAGAGGGAGCATCATGAAACTTTCCATCGGAAGCATAATTTACTGCAATTTTGAACACAATTATCAAAAATAATAGTATACTCTCAAAAGAAACGGAAATAATGCGCACAATATTTACGATCTAATTTCACTACCAAACAGACTCAGCAAAGTACCACTCATTTAGTTACTCATTTCAGGTCATCAGAAATGTACAAAATATCAAGTATGGACATTGGATGAGATAATGAGTGCTAACTATGGAAAATGTATGAGTAAGCTACAAACCTATCCTTTTCATTCAATCATGCGAATAGCCCATCAATGTGAAAGTTAGATGAAATATATTAATCAACTATAGTGCAGTAATCAATATTAAATTTATCAATTATTGACGACAAATACTGATTTAACAGCTTAACATGATCAAAGAATGAATACTGTGTGATAAATAGGTTAAAGGTGATCAAGTCAAAGATAAATATGCAACTGCAGGACATGAGAGAACTATTCGCTAGCAGATCATACTGATTTCGAGTATTTATAAGTCCGGCAAAATTTAGCTCTAATTGTGATGTATGAAAAAAACATTCGTATTCTGCATCGAGTGTTCGAAGGTAAGCAGCAGTGCTGATGAGTAAGAAACAGATTTAGCATAGAGTGCAATAGCGCATATTTCGTTCACTTATCACTGCTTCATAGATGCTGAATTCCACGTGAAGTGAACTTCTCAACAACACATTGACTTATTTCTAATTACATATTCTGAAGGCAGTAAACAGAGAGATAAGTAGATAGGTAGAATATATTGTTGGATTCAGACAGGCTTGATGGCAAACGGTTGAATGGATTAATTGAATATTAACAGCTGTTGCAGAAGCAACAACCCCATTAATCAACTTACACTGCCCTTACAACCAACCTTTGCCTTGACAAAATCTGCAGCAGTGGTAGCATCAGGCATACATATAATGTAACGTGAAAGTTTAGCAGTGCGTAGTAGGACAGTGCAACGCATGAAAGCGAAGTGAGGTTATGATAATTACAGTAATATAATTACAATAATACTTTTGATGATAATAACAACTGCTGATATGATAGAAGTACTGGATTGTTATCGTCAAAAACTGCAACGGAAAGAGAGCAATGCATGTGGGTGAGCTAAAACATACCACAAAACTGAAATTCAAACCAAATGTGCAATAATTTCTATGAATAGAATATATTACAACTGGTGATATTCACAGTGCACATATGATAGCACATGACAGTAATACTAGTAGTGAGTGATATGAAGGAAAAACTGAGTACGATCTGCGAGGGTTATACTTGTATAGCTCTGAAATGGGAATTTGATCGAGAAAAATGAGATCACTGAGCAGTGCCTGTGCTTCGCTCCCTTGCTTGCTCAGTGGTAATTTCTGCGAAAATGCAAAGATGTCATTTCGGGAGGATAAATTCAAATAATTAATTCTGCATACTGCATCAATCAATCAGCGACTGAAAGATCAATTTGGTGCTTTTCTGAAATTGCGAACAATATCAATTACGATTCGCTCTTCGTGTAAAGTACACTCATTAGACGCTACAAAAAGTGCTTGCACCAGTGATTAGTGTATTTTTCTACAATTATTACTCATCCCTGTAATTACTTTACATAGATACGCTAATTAAGCATATCCAGTTAATAACTAATCACTTAATTGAAAGCGAATGTAACTGTAAGAGAGATGCGCGCAAACGGGATTGATAGCCTAAGATGTGTGTGCATGTGTGTGTTCGTGTATGTGTGTATTTGTATGCGTATGGGTCTGTGTGTGTGCGTGTGTGTGCAAGTGCGTGCGCCCTTGGCGCCATTTTTCCTCTCTCCTCTCTCCTCTCTCCTCTCCCTCCCCACCCCTCTTCTGCTCGCCTTTTTTCCCTGCCATTTTGATGTTTATGTAACACTTTCATCCACACTGTTCGGGAGCTGCCTTTCATACGTATTCGACCTCCGTTTAGGTCGGGGACCACAGAGGGGACGTTCTATCAAAATGGCACAATTCCGGAACTTGGCGTCTGAGGTCCCCCTCCTAATATACGACAGTCCCGGACAGGATAATTTTTGCATATCAGATTCAAGACTGATCTAAGTCAAATCTCGAAGAGTTAATATGATTTTTTTTCGCATAATTGCAGTACTAAAGTCTCACCATATCCAACATAAAGGACCGTACTTGAACCAGTGTTGAGTTTCCAAGTACTACGCACTATATGTGCCACGACGAAGCACCATTACATCTTATTAGTTTCCAGTTTCAACGAGTTTTTATCAAAAGGCAGTAATTCCAAATAGACATGAATAAGTTACTTGCAGAATAAAGTTCGCGAAGACACTTGTCTTTGTGATTAGTATACTGAAGTCATTTTCAAATTTGGAATCTGTTTATTCAATACAGCCCTACTTAACAATAACTTTCTCGAAAATACAACATAAGGCATAAAGTTAATCAACTTCAGTAAGAGTTACAATCACATTTTGTTCTTGAACTGCTGTTGACGAATTCTTAAGGCGCTTTTCACTGACCACGCAACTTCTTTCCAATCTTTCATCTTATTTAATGACATAATACTTTTTCTTTTGTCATCTTGCTGATTCTCAAAGTCATCCATATAGATGTCATCACGTGGACTAAATAAAGCCTTTACAGAAGAGATTGCTGAAGTATCCAAAACTTGATCACTACTTGAAGTATCAGCATTTACGGTATAATCACGGACTGCACGTTTCATTGCGATTTTGCGCTCACGTACAATGCTGAAATTCATGTAGCATCATTCTTATTAACAAATGCATTCCCTAATTTAAATAGAGAACGAAAAGATCTTAAATAATTAGTCAGTTATGGCCCACTATTTCCAAGTTACAATAGCCTTTAGTAGTATCTGTAGCAGTCACAGCGAATTATAGAAAAGGTTTTCATTTTCTAATCATTATTCTTGCTTCTAGAATACTATTTCAAAATAATGAAGATAATAAAAAATAACATTACAACTTATAAAAGAGAAAGGATACTTGTTAGCATCGTGAACTGCAAAACTTAATGCTTTATTTTCCACTGCAAATGGGTCGATACACTGACATAGAACTGAGGTACACAACGAAGGAAACATTAATCGAACATGTCCACCACGGACAGTACTAGCACAGCAATCACCACCATCCCATTTACAATATCCACGGTTGTTTTGAAAGTCACACCATCCGTCACCCATAAATTCCTAGCATAAAAAGCACTAATAATTCAAAAGAATTAAAATAATGCTTAATAAGCAAGGAAAATTTTAGTTAAAATCGATAATGAAAAATCAACCTTTTGAAAACAAGCAATATGCGTCTTGACATTTTAATCAAAACTGAAAATTCCCCTCTTGCTTGCGAATAAAATTGAAGCACATTAAAAGTTACTATTTTTTGCCACTAGCTTTTCTACTACTTAATGATTAATTATAATTATAATATTTGTGATCTAAGATCATAATCTCCATATTTCTGATGGAAATTTCATGAGAAAAATTGGTGAAATATATAAATGTGCAGTGTCTTTGTTATAAATTCTCAAAAATAATCCATCTATCCAAATAAATCTAATAATGAATTACTGGAAATTTCTTTCCAGAATATTCTAGTGGACAAATATTGCAGATAAGGTTAATACTCATACCTTATTGCAAGAACGTACACAACTCAGAGTATGCACTTGAGGATAGAATGTCGAAGAAATAGTGCAAGTTATACTGTGCACCACTCGAAATGATAATAAACGTTCACCATTTGGAAGAATTTTATTATCTTCTAATGCAGCATCATAACCTTTTCTATGACACTGTACCAAACAAGCGGCACCTAAAAGATAACATTGCAACATCGATAAAACTAATGAAAGTCAAAAATTATGACTGCAATGAATAGAGCGAATACTAAACAGCAATTCATAAAAATGATTTTCAAAATTGAAAACTATAAATTTTTTCATTAGAAAGTAAGATAATGAAATGTAAAAATTATTTTCACCAGATACTAGTCTTCTCGGACATTTGAATTGAAGATCTCGCATAACTGCTGGTAACAAACAATTTTTTCGGGGTGACGGGCACTGGAAGTTATTTGACCAAGTACCATCTTTTTTACATATCGAATATTTGTGCTACAAATACAAAAATATGTCATGTAAAACACCATTTGCATTTATCTGAGATTAACTGTGGGATATTTTTTCTAAATGAAGCTTTTAAGATTATTTAAGATATATAGTGATATTCACTCTTTTGCAATTAATACTATTACTATGCTTTATTACTGTTTCTTAAACAAGCAAATTATTATACAGTGAATGAAAAACAAATTGTAAACCTGAATTGTTCCCAAACACTGAATATGACAACTAGAGCCTATTTGGAAGCCATTTGTACAGTTGTATGTACCCATATAAACTACTTTTGGAACAGGACACGTAAATGGTATACAAGTTGGACCAATCCAAATACCATCATCCGAACAAATCACACGAATTCAAAAAAACGTATTTAAATTTAGAGAAGAGATTATATTAGAAAATTAATGAAAAAACTTATTAAGTCACGAAATACAAAGCAACTTAGTGAAGAAAATTTATCTCTTTTAAAGAGAGGTGTGCAAAAAATTCCCAAATTTTTTTGGAAATTGAGATACACAACTACTGAGCATTGCCATAATAAAGTAAATATTACTTCGAATGCAGTGAATGTGAATGAGATGAGCGAAAATGCTGACGGCAATTTAGCTTGCAGACAGTTGAAGAAGGATAGTAATTTTTTGTGTCATAAATACGGTTTAGTTTGCAGCTGATTGAACTATGCGATATATTACGCATCAACAATCCTTTCTGTGAACAAACGATCTGGAATGAAGAATTAAACTATGCGTAGACAGTGACAAAGATTAAATAATTTTATGTGATTAGTTTATGAATGCATTAAGAAATAAAGGACCTTTCCTTTTTAAGCAATAAAACCAATACACAATTTTATCATAATTTTAACAAACTGACTACCTGACAAAAAGCTTCTGGTAGTGTCCACAACCCATTTTCTTTGCAGACCATATAATTCTTTTGTCCTAAATATATTTAGTAAGATGACTTAGAAGCAGGCAACAGATTTTTGAAACAATATTTCAGATTACTTCATTTTTATGTTCCGATTATATTTCATGGCATTTTCAATGATTCATGAAGTTTCGATGTCACGACTAAATTACTCTTCGCAAATTTACGATAGGATCCAAAGTATAAAAAAATTAATATAACACGCTTACGAAATGTGACACGATATACTGTTTAAAGAAATCACCAATCATCATCGCATTGTCTTTACACCGAAATGTACACTTCTTATTATAGTTTGTACCATCCGGACAGTCTACTTCAGCATATTCAAGTTTTGGAACTGAACAATGAACTGGCTGGCAATTTAAATTTCCAGTTCCTATCCAATGGCCATTCACACACCTTATTTTAGCTGCCTTTTGTGAATTCTCGAGCATGAATCCGTCTTCACATTTGTAGATGCATATTAATTCATGACATTTTCGCTAAAAATGAACAAAACCTGTTTTAAATTATGAAAATAGAATTCAATTCACTTGGATAATACAATTCACCGAAATCTTCAAGTTAAGCTGTACATTACTCACTTTAGTACTGTGAATGAATGACAGAATTATAAAACGGAAATATCCGTTTCTACCATTTTCGCAAATGTTTTTTCACATTTATGTGAAGCTTTGCATGCTCTCATGAATTCATTAAGATTTTGACAACATATGTCATTTGGAATTACTTTATGTAGCTCGTCTCTATTTAATATTTTCGAAATCAAAAAAATTTAATGACCAACAATTTTTTGACCCAAGAAGCTGATATCAAGCATTAAAAACTGAATTTCTTTACACAATCTGCTAAAATTTTAAGGCAATCCAGTTTTTTCTCAAGTTCTATGTAACAAATAATTTCCTACTCAGCACTAAAATTAAAAATTTTCTGATAACTCTATTACTATCGTAAAAGCCAAGTTGTTGGGTTTATATTTATTATTTAAAGACATTGATTCATTCCTAAAATCTCTTAATCACGAGGTTCAGATTAATTTGAATTTTATTGACTGAAACCAAGAATTCTTATGAAAGCTAGTTTCTGGACGAAAATATAAAAAAACTTTTAATAGTCAAGAAAACTTTTAATAATCAAATTCACAAACCTTTGATTTCGGTACACTTAAAGGAATACATGAAGCTGATTTCATTGACTGACAATTTTTTGATACGCAAAAGCCACTCACTGGATCATAAAATTTGTTTTCTGCTATAAATATACAACAGTGAAAGTAATATGCATTTGAAAATGAATCATTTTTGAAACATCACTTTATATTTCAAGAGCTCTATAACTTTATCAGAATCAATTCATACTTTAAAAAAGAAAATAATTAATCCATATCAAATTTTATCATTTTTAATGAACCAACATGTCACCAGTCAACATCACTCTCTATTACATTGTAAAATGCTTGCAATAATGAAATTTGGAGGTAATGTAAAGTAATTGGAGATAAATTTTTAGCCACATAACTAATGAACTCACAGAAACAGCCATTCATGAAATCAAGAGTGACTAGAAAGGAAATCCTACCCAAATTACAAGAAAACTAAAATAAAAGTATTTTTTTCGACAATACCTGCGCAAGTTTGTAATGTAGGCAAGTCGAATATCTTTAGTGATCGCAAAATAACTGCAGTGATAACAATTTGGTCTGGATTTGATATGTATAAATAAACTGCCTTAGCATATGATAACTTATTGATAAGCATATATGGAATTGCTACTTCCAAAGGGTTTTGAGCACATGACAGGATTCGTTGTTCTAATGATATAAATGCATATAGCAAAAACAGCAAATTTATATTTATAAAATAGAATCAATTTTTAGCTAGACTTCAAAAATAGTAATGAGTCAATCATAAATTTCATTTCGGTTTCTGAACAAACGCAACAGCGGATCTTCCCAACTCTTTCTTGAGATCCTCCAAAACTATGCACAAGTGCTAGACAATTTTTTGTGCCTAAATGTTTCTTTTCCTCCTATTCTATATTTCTTTATGTGTATAAACTCTGATTAAAGTACCATCTAAACTAATGGTCGTCTTGTTAATATACTGCACACTTATTCGAATGGTAGACAAGACGGATTTTGATCCAATTTTGAAAACAGTAGCATAACCTATGATAACACTAGTCGGAAAAATTCCTCCTTGGAATGATGCATGCAAGAAAAGTTCATCTAAATCTGACTGCTGCAAACACGTTCTCGAGCTAGAAGATTGAACATCGCAGCCCTGTAAAAAGAACTTCCAAATGAGTGACGTAACACTGACTGAAATATTAAGAAGAAATGAATATTAAAAAGTAAATATTAGCGATTTCAGAATTCTATTTTTTCCACTTTAGAAACTTATATAAACTAGATATTAATCCCCTTTGCATGATAACTGCATAGCATTAGTTATTTTAATATGAATTTCAGAATGAATTTGTGCAATGACATTAACAGATAATATATTTCATGAATATGGAACCATCTTAATTTTCAACAATATCATATAAATTTAACTGGAAACTATTTTCAATCTTCGCTAAATAATATTTCTTGTACTAAGCAAGACTTAAGAGAAATAAAACTCAGTGAGAAAGTTCAGCAATATTTCTTTACCGATGTTAAGGAAGAATGTAAATGCAATGAACAGTTCCTCCGCAAAGTTGCAGAATAAACATGAACATTCACGGGATAATATTGAGAATATTTTGTAGATGGGTCAATACTTTTGCAATCTTTATCATAACTTTCTTCAAATGCTTCACATTCGTTGTCGCCTTCATATACATAGCAAAAACTTGCAGTAGCTAAAATAATCAAATAACAAAAATGGGTAAGAGATTGAATAGCAAGGGAATATTATTGGATAAGTTCAATACCAGAAAATTTGGTCCGCTTTACAGATTTCCATGATTTTATCAATATGATGAATGGACAATTTTCTAATTCAAAATAAAAAAATATATCTAATATCCGCTTCTGATTAATAGATATACAAAAAATAACCTCAATAGGAAATTTGGTGTCACTTTTGGTAAACTGTTTCTATCTTACTTATTCTATTTCTTACAAATAAAAGTTTAATGCAATTTAGTTTAAAATTTTTAGCAAAACAGTATCCCTATCATTATGCAACACATCAAGGATACTTGTTGGTAAAATTATACTGATTCATCAAATTACATTATGACAAAAATTTAGAGCAGCAGGGACAAATCTTATCTCAATACCAACACTACTTTTTCTATGCTTAATAATTTTCCTTAGCCGAATACCATTTTCACTAATTCTGTTACATTTTCCTATTTCAGTAAATGAATACATTTGTTAACTTCAACACAGTGAAATTTTTCCTCAACCAAACAGTCTTGCGAACAACCATCACTATTATATAAATTTCCATCGTCGCACTGCTCATCATTGCTGCGTTTCCCATCACCACAAACATTCATTTCAGTGGAATAGCGAGCAGTAGGCGAATATAACCCTTCAACACCCTTACTTTCCACTGTAACTGAATAAGTATAAGTAACTCCTTGCTGGACTGTACTGAAATGAAATAAAGTATGACAGTGTAAAATTCTATACTTCCTTAGTGACAAAAATATTGATAGGGAAAATCATGCTTAATTAATCACAGAGTATTAATTGAAGCCAATATAAAGAATCTTCAGATATCTATTTTTTTTAAAAAGACTGGATTTTCTATAAGTTTTATTCAAATTTGTAAAGACATAATAGAGCTTCGAGATGCATTAGTTCACTAAAAAATTTCTTTTTGGTTTTTTATTTTCTTGTTTTATTACCAATTAAACGAAGTTAGTCAAATATTTGGTCTGCAACAACTCATATGTCTTTTTGCAAATGAAATTAGTAAAAAATAAAAACCTATCAATTATGTGATAGTTGGTTGTTTCTATGAACCTTTCAGAAAACGACGGTGTACGATAAACACGATAGTGATATGGTATGCAGTGCGAACAAAATGAATTTTGAGGAGATGAAACAAACTCTACTGCATCAATGCTTACAAATGGGTTGTTGCTTCGGACTTGCACCTAAACAGCAAAGTATGGTGAGGATACGACAGCTCACAAACAAAGGTACGCTACATTTTAAATTTGATTTATGAGAAATTAGAAAATGAATTGCAACAGACTAAAGTTTAAAGTTGCAATTGCTACTTAATCTCATGAACTTCGAAATAAGTTTACTTACTTCTTTAATCCATTTTCGTGAGTTAAGACGTAAGGTTAGAGGTTGATCACAGTGAGCATAAAGCTAGAATGCACCATAAATTTTGAGGGAAATGACGTTTTGTAGAGTTCTGAACTTTCTTATACACCTCCATGTTTAAATTGAATAACAGCTAGTAATTCATTAAAAAATGGCAACTAATAAGTTTAATCAATCTCATATTTTCAAGCAGATTTTCAAAAGTAAAACATTTCATCTTCAACCAGTTTGACAGTTATTATTAAGTCAGCTTATTCTAGTCATAGCTGATGAGAAACAGTTTTCAAATTTTTATTAGTAAACATTAAAGTTATGAGAAGATTTCAAATGCAATGCAAGTAAAACATAATTCAGAAGTTCTCACATTGTCACAAAAATTACAAATCTCGTTTGAAAATTATATTTGCATTACAAATCGAGATTTGAACAGCTTTACCTGTTCAAATAATTCGACACTACCATCAGTGAATTGAATCTTCACAAACCGCACACCACTAGCCGCATTCCAAGCAAACCATATAGACAACTTTTCTACTTCAGTTTCCACGTCAGGTTTTAATTTCAGCGTACATTTGTCACTAGCGTCATCGCAATCTTGTACATCAGGAAGCCATGCTTTAGTAGAAGCAGAACAAGGTTCAGCATCGGGAGGTCCTAATAATTTTGTAAAAATCAACTCCTTTCTATCAATAATTTTGGTAATTATAAGGATAAACACTTAAATACTGTTAATAGCTCAGCAATACATCAAGGAAATTGTGCATCAATGAGAAAGTAAGAAGAATTTTATTTCAACACAAACCACTATAGATACTAATTAATGACATGATAATTAGCAATAACAAATGTAGTCAAGAAGGGATGGATATATAGTACAAATTTATGAGTTATGAGAGTTGATTAATGTGCTGAATTTGACAAGAAGAAAAAAGAATCGGCGTGAAAATAAGAAGTTAAGCCTTCAGTCCAGAAATCTGCTTCATGACAAACTGACTCATTTTCTGTCTTTTGTGCCTCATCACTGTTGACTAGTGTGGTGCTTTATGCAAAACTACTTCTTGACACTCTTTTCATTCGATTGTATGCACTACAAACTTGTCGCTCAATCTCTTTTTAGTACTAATTAATCATCAGCAACTAAGATGCGAGGATACTGCAAAACGTACACAAGATTCTGTAGAAGTCTGCCCGTGCCTCTGAATGTGAATGCTGCGAAAATGCGGTCGGTAGCTCACAGTAAACAATTTATTTCTCATAGCGAAGATATTTCGCTAAATTGCCTCGCTTGCACTGCTCGCTTGCGTAATTTCATCATTTGTTTGAGTTTATTTATCTATTTTTGTAAAGTTGAGATTCCTTGTAGAATATTATTACTTAGTAGTTTTTTAGGATTCAATAAATGGAGGAGTATTTGAGTGAAAAATTGAATGATTTATCAATAAATGATGAAACGAAGGAATTAATCAATAAAATGACAGAATGGGAAAGTCTGGGTCAAGGCATTATTATGGGTCAAAAAATAATAGTGGAACTTGATAAGCGCCGTCAAAAATGTCGTGAAGCACTAAGGAAATTACGCCAAGAATCTAAAGACCGAACAAAAAGGGTTTATCACTTTGATTACATTTCTTGCAGATTTGTTTTTGCCAAAATATGCATACTTTTTCCTGATTCAGAAAAGTGGAAGTACTAGTTTAACTTGCTATTGTTTACTGGCTATAAATGATTTTAAATACTTGTTTGTTTCAGAGAAGTAAAAGTTGGTTATGTTTTGGAGATACCACGTTCGTCAAAGTTGCCAGTGATAAAGCTACACAGATGATTGAGGACGACATAAAAATTATTGAAACTACTTTAGAAGGAACTCGAGAGGAGATCAGAAGGCGAGTGGACGAGTTGAAGAAAATGGAAAACTCAAAAAGTCTCGATCAACTCGGCTTCAATTTGCTCCCGATTACCCAACCGTTAGTGTTATTCAATTAAACTAAAATAATAGCTACAAAAAGGTGTTGTGCACTTCACAACTATAACTTTTTGTTCTAAAGAAAATTTTAATAACATGTCGGAAAAAATGTATGATGAGAACAAATTGTTATTGAACGTCATTCTCACGAATGACCAAGTCAAGTATACATATTCACTGATCATTCAAAAGATTTTGGACTGTTATGTTGCTTATTAGCTTATATGAAGTAATAAGTATGGTACCTGTAGCTTGCTCTGGACCCCAAATACCTGACATTTGAAAGGGTTCAGATGAACTTGCTGAAACCGCATATTGCACGACACGATTATCTACAGTACAGTGTGTCTCACGCACACGTTTTTGTTGTGGACCGCAGTTCATGCTATCAAATGGTGGTATCCACATCTAAGACAATCAGTATTTATCTAATAACTCTTCATACTGCAATTTTGCATTCCATAAAATCGTGTTAAATTAATATAAATACCATGATTATTTAAATACGTGGATTTTTCACTCAGTTAGAACTTTAAACTTTTTATGCCCCTATTTTGTATTGAAAAGTGTGAACAGAACTAATCTTATTATTTTCAGCTGCATTAATAAAGTTACTCACAATTTTGACGCTTCTAGAATTTGTTTCAGGCCATGGTACGATTCGGGGAGCTAGAGTAATATGTTTAGGAATCGGTGCTGAACGAACCAACCAATTGGTATACTTTAAATCGATATAACAATGCATCCTTGCCTTCTGCTGTGGGGTAAATGTATTAGCACAGTTATCACCTAAATGATGTTATTGCCGTAACAGTTGTAAAGATCACGTCATAAAAATCTTTGTGAGTGGCCTTCATTTAAAAGTTCTCAATTAATCATTGCTGTAATAATTATAAACTTCCAAACAAAGGTACTCATAAAAATTTTCGTAACTTGATGAAATTGATATAACTTCAGTTACCTGCATAACTCATATAATTCCGAAAAGGTGTATCCTTAAATTCTTGCGTTACGTCGCAAGGGTTAACTGTTTCGGGATCAGCGCATGCTGTGTTTTTGATTGTTGGATTTGTATCATTCACCATGTCGCCTAAAACCGCTTTCATATAGTTATATGAGAACTTTCTAACAATTGTTTGTTGAAACCTTATTACTGAATCAGGGGTTAAAAGGAACTGCCCTTACTTTTTCTTAGTTAAAAGAGAATATAATCCAGTTGATGAGCTTGTATTATATGTTGTATTTCTAATACAACATATAATACAAGCTCATCAACTGGATTATATTCTCTAAGCAATAACTTGAGCTTGTATTATATGTTGTATTTTTATTATATTTATTGTACGTAGACAGGGATACGTTGATTTCAAAGTTGTAAATTTAAGCATCATGTTGGAGGCTACTTTATTTTTATGACATGTAAGAATTTGAACGTTGTGCATCATTTCCGAGTTTCATTTTGACACATGTTTATTAGTGCACTTAGCCTTCTTAATTATATTTTTTTGAAATCTTCAGTGTATATATGATTTTTTGGTATTTCACAAATCTGAGCAGTTTTCTGTATTTAGTGATTTATATACATATACATATTTTTTTCTCTAATAGCCAGAACTTTTTTTCTGTTAGAATGCATTTACTTTTTGATTTTGAAAGGCTCAAGTAATTATGAAGTATTGTTCATTTGTAGTCCTATTTAGTTTGGAATGACACTTGTAGTTCGAAAAATAAAATATTCTGTTTTTTGTTGAAAACAAATTCCGAAACAGAAGCTAGTACCGGTTGTCATGGAAGGCGTTTTCTCTTGACATGGATCTCCACATGGTACCTCGCTAATTCCGTGATGTACGTGCCAAAGGCCGAGTATATGTCCTACCTCATGAATCAAAGTATTCACTTGACCAGGCGTTCCGAATCGATCGTGGCGAAGTAGTACTCCTCCTTGGTTGCCATAAATATCCTTCTCCCAAGGAAATGTTGAAAATCCACTTAGGTCATTTGCTTCCCAGCTACCAAATTGTACGTTCATTGCTTTTTCATTGTTCATTGCAACTGATGCTTTGTATTCTTCGACATTGATGTAACGCCTGAACTGACATCTCAGTTTTCATCAATGAGAAGGTTGTTTGGCATTAGTATTTGATATTCAGAATTATCTAAGCAATAACTTTGCAGCGTTCAATCCAGCAATATACATTTATTGTTCTTTCTCCTTTCAGAAGATGTTTTCATATACAGCGATTGCTTATTACAATCACTTTAGGCATATATTTTGATTTTAGCTGAATTGCTGAGAATGTATATGTTTAGTCATGTGAAGGTTGGAAAAGCATTGATTTTATTTTATGGGTGAAGTTGCGAAGTTGTCAGTCCGATTATTTCTGTCTGATTTTAAGCAAAGTTTAGCCTCAGATCGATGAGTTAATCTGAAATGGAACTGTACTGAACACAACCTGTAAACAGAAGAAGGGTCAATGCAGTGTCGATTGTCGCTGTCAACAAAATTGGTACAACAGTCAGCGTTATCCCAGTTATGTTCACGATTGTTGCATTGCAAATCACAGTGCTTATTTCCAGGCATCCACTTTTCGCACTTACTCTTTAAGTAAGAAAGTATGTTCTAATTGCTCCATGAAGAAAATTCTGCTCAAGACAAGTTCGACTAGTAAGTGTTTATTGGAGAGCACTTTCAATAAACTGTCTTTCAGTATTTGGATGTATAATTGGCTATCAATTTGTGCCATGTCAGATTGGTTTTTTCGACAGTAAAATTTTGAATTTGAGTCGTTCGTAACACTATTTGAAGTAGATATTACCAGACATCTATTTTTAATAATGCACGCATGGAATTCTAAATCGATATAACAGGCTAATGTAAGAAGAAGTTTTCTTAAGAAGTCACAACTTCTTATTATCTGTCAAACGTTATTTCACTCTTTAAGTGACCAACTTCATCTCGTCACTTTTGGATATACATGGAAAAGTTTTGTCAGAATTTTTTCGAGCATGTAAGCATTAACAACTAACTCATTTGACTTAGAGTAAGTGGTAAGGTTTACTTGAGTTTTGCAGTCACCTCCGTCATCGCCAGTAACTGCATGACGACATTCAATATCACAACGCTTGTTACCAATTGCTGAGGAATGGCAGCCAAACACAATAGTTTTACGTCGTAACGATGTATTACGAATATTTATTACTTCAAGTTCCCACCTGAGAAATTATATTAATCACAGTATGCAGTACACGCCTGATTTGCAATTTGCAATAATTACCACAAAATAAGTGTTTTGCAATAATTCACGTAAACTACAGCAAATTATTACCTGGACGTGAATTGAATTCTCTAAATCATATCTAATATTACAGGTTGAAGTAAGTCATGTGTGAAATTTTCTTTTATTCTAAGCAAGAAAGTTTGTGTATTTTATTCTTCTGGTACATAATTACAATTATTGCCTAAGCAATATAATTTCAATTCGGGAAGTATAAAATTTTTAAACTTACGTTATATTATATGGTGCAAAAGCTTGTGAAAGTTTCAAGTGTTGTAGCGTAATCTGATCACTTTCCATATTCACGTTGCTGCAAATTTCACTAACTGAGCAATGTTTGCGAGCTTAAGTTGAAATAACTGCAAAAGTTACGCTTTGTCTCTTCTTTTACGGCAGTTAAAATTATTTTCAGTGCCAAAGTGGCAAGACACAACTGACCTTCCATCATCATCACTAATCACAATCACTCTGTATCTCAGTTTTTTGAGAGCAGTGAAGTCAGCTTGCTGCAAGTAATTGCTTATCACGATTGGACTGTCACAAATAGTCTGGCCACAAGCGGGTATTTCAATACTTTGAGGCATATCCTTGTACGGTATTTGCACTTTACGAATGTCATGTCCTCAAAAATCACTTCCTCACTTTTTTTTCACGTCGTTGTGTGACGTGAAAAAAAAAAGTTTTTAAATAAAGATCGAAAATTGCAGATTTCAAACCACCAGAAGAATTTTAAAATATGTTTTACATTAAATGTGCATCTTTTCTCAGTAATTTTTAGTTTGAATATTTATAATGAAGATAACATTCTTGCCAAGTAACTTCCACTGGTCGGTATTCAAAAAATTATCTTCAATGATATTTCCCATCCATTGCTCTTCGTAAAAGTTCAAGTGATGCATTGGACGGTCAGTAATGCGCAGTTTGCCGATAAAACCGCGGAAGCCGATAACTTCATCACGCCTAAATCTACCGCCATCTGCTCCTAGATACAATCGTTTACAAGCACTTCGAAGTTCGGAGTAAAGAGCGCCAAACTACAATTAGACTTGAATTTGAATAAGCTGATATCAAACAATAGGTGTGTAAGATTAAATGTGCAAAAATGCTTTCATTATGATCTGACGGGAGTAAACTGTAGTCCAATTTTAGTCCTGAAAATTATGCCCAACAAGTAAAAGTGCATGGGATGTAAATTAAGTAGGCATATTGATGTTTGGCCTCTTAATTCTATATGAAAGTGAAGATAAGTTTTAAAACAAATATCTAGTGATTTTTGGAAATAAATGATTTGAATTATTTTTTCACAATTTTACGTTAGCTTTCAAATATTACTTCACGCATTAGTTTACCCACACGTGCACCGTTTACGTAGAGTAAAAGTTGATGTGAATCAAATACCGCTACTATTTGGAGCCATTCACCAAGTTTATGAGGTTTTTCATTTCTAAAAATATAAAATCAGAAATGTGATAAGTTACAGAAAACGAACAAAGTAAATTATTGTTGATTAATAGATAATAGTTAACTGATAGTATTTAAACTTTACACACACATCTAAAACATCAGTCAGTTTGGCATGAGTTGAACATTGCACTATCAGCTATATAATTAATTGTGAGTGATGTGGCTTAATCAGTTCAAAAGATCAACTATGATAAGATCAACGATTACCTGATGTGATATGACTGAGGCAATAATTCTGAAGCAACTGATAACTGCAAGCGGGCTCCATATTCTCCACCATGCTCGGTTTCAATCGAAAGTTTCCATGTTGCTCTAGCTCTCACATCGCCACAAATATCATTCAATGCTTTGATTAAAAATTTTCAAAAAGTATCGTTAAAAAATATTCTCAGTTTTTTGATATACAAATAATGGAATATGAAAATTTATAATTTCAGCAATACAGATCGATTGATCTATTTTACTGAGCTGAAATTGATGATAATCTGAGAATTATGTTTCTAAAGACTCTAGGTACTAATGTAATTGGGATGATTCAGCCAATAGAATTTAGTAATTACAAATAAAGATCTAAAAAAAGTAATTTTGTGTTAATGATTGTTGTTTTATTGACGACACTCGCAATCAGATTGGTCAAAAATATTACATATTAACAGTGCTCATTTTATAATTCAATTCGTGACTGACATTGTACAAAGACATCTCTTTAAAAAATAAAAGCAAACATTCATGTTGGACGTGAATTTTAGATACTGTACTAATTATGATCAGCAATGAATCGTTTGTAGAAATTTGCATACCAACTATAGTAGCAAAATCCGTTTGTCCACCATCAATTTGTATCCAAATTTCGAGTGTGAATGCAAAACGCATATTACCCACAAGAATGGGCCATTTCGGAGTACTCAGACGTAGTGCAGCGGATCCGTTCAAATATATGGCATTATCATTCAGTCCTGAGGGGAATTTGAAACGCCGAAATCTGTACAAAAAGCTGAGTATGTTTTGATTTATCCAAAACTAAGTGATCAATCAAACACAATAAATCTATTCCACATTGATGACAAAAAGCGATTTAATGATCGCTAAAAATTGAACAAAATCCCATATTTTGTTAAGTTATGCAACATTGTATTTTTGAATTTTGAAAAATTTTCTCGTAAATCTTAATTCATTTTTTGACATTTTGAATATCAATTGAGTAAATGAAGTAATTTTGTGCTAATAATTGTTGTCTTATTGACGACACTCGCAATCAGATTGATCAAAAATATCACAACTTGACAATGCTCATTTTATAATTCAATTCAGTGACTACTGACATTATGCAAAGCCTATCTCTTGCTGACGCTTTATTTCTAATATTGCTGCGGGCAATTAGCTTCTTACTTGTCAGCAAAATCAAAGCTAATTTGAACTTCAAATATTGTAATATTTATAACAAAATTTATTTGGCAGTCAATAAAAAAGTGCGTCAAATGTTTTTTGCAAACCTCGCAGAAGTTTCATCGCAATTCTCACTGCTGTCATTACAAACAGCCAAAATTTCTTCAGAGATTAACATACTAAAAATCAGAAAATACGGTAGCACTGTGAGGAAGGCAAGCATACGGAATAGTTTTATATTTGCTACTGCTTAAAAATTTGGTTAGTATTTGGTTTTGCTTGCCTGCTCTTGTCACTTAACTTTGAGAAAAATCATCAAAAATTTTAGACTCCATCGAAAGGAAGCTTCAAAAACCAAAGTGATTGAAACTAAGCAACACCTGTTCAACCTGTTTTAAGTAAAATATCAAAATTCTCCGTGAAACGTCGTTAATCTATGAATACACGCTCAATCTTGCAAGGGAATAGACTCTTTCCAAGACTGATCTCCAAAAATTTATGAAAAAGTTTTAAAAGATTGAGTTTAAGGATCATTTGAGAAATATATCACTCAATCTCCCGATATACCACCATTGGTTGCCATTTAAAAATATGCAAGAAATTAACTCAGAAAGCATTTTCTGAAAAAAAGCATTGAATGACAAAGCTTTTTTATTCATTTTTTTGTGAAAAAGTTGAACTGAGAATTTGCGGGAGAAAATTACTGAAAATATTTTACTACAAAATCTATCAACGGTTTGAATCAAAACGAATGCATGACTAAGCATAGAAAAACTGCAAGAATTAACATATAAACTGACATTAGGAATTGCGCGATGTATCTTTTTGCTTGTATTTTTTCAGTTTGAGAATTCTATCCTAAAATGGAATTTGATAAACTGAAATCGCAACGAAAATTAACAAAACGGGAAGAACTATCAGTGTGAACTTCATAAGTCTTCGATTTCATGAGTCAAAACCTCGAAGTGAGGTAAAGTTCAAAAACTGAATTTGAATCGAAGAAATGCAAATTAAAGCAGTTAAGCGACTGGTTAAAAAAGCGCGGTTATTTGATTTAAAACTTCTTTAATGTTTGTTATGGGATTGTCTTATTGCATAACTGAGCTGCGGAAATGGTGCATGAATTGGTACACGTATCAGTTACTTTAATTATTTCTAGTATTTTTTTGTGTTGATCTATCAATCAGTCAGATGGATTTGAAAGTTTTATTTTTCCAAAAAAAGAATGGAATTAAGAATTTCCATCTGTTTAATGTATTGTTGAAAAGTTTTAAATTATGAGACTAAGCCCATGCAATTCATTTCCAATTTGGAAGTAGATTTTCCTTCAAGGAATCATCAGTGTATATTAAGATAAAATTGATATGTAAGAGTTTTTCAGAATGGGTACGGAATCAGTTTGGTGTGCTTTTTTTGTCAGTCTATTATTATTTGCTATTACGGAATGTGTAACACCATTCTTGAATAATTACTTGGATGCATCAGCTCGGAATTCCTTGAATGCAGTCTTTCTCAGTGCCATTGAAAGTGATGTTGGTATTTTTGTTTCAGTGCACTGTTGTTAATAATAATAAATAATAATAATAGTAAAACTTTAGTAGCATAGAGCATTACTCATTTCTTTGCTAACTGTTTTCATTCAGGAATTCATTTCAAGCATAGTTGTGAAAGTGTGTATTCTAATGTGTAACGACTAGAATAATATATTTGTGGCATTAAAATTGTAATAAATTAAGAGATTAGATTTTTATATTTGAGAAATAACTATATTTTTATATTTTGTTGAAGTTTCTAAAAAAGGATTAATTTTTTAAATGAAGATTGCTAATTTATATGATTTTATTTCATTTGAAGCAGCTCACGTTTTACGTTCCATAGAATGCGAGTTTATCTAGCAGTATTCAGCTATAACTATACAGATGTATTTCAGTAATTACGATATTTTATATGATTTTAGCAATTGTCTGCTATACATCATGGCTTGGCGGGTTTAGAATTAGCAGGGATTCCGATTGATGCCAACAAAAACCAGGTATCTTTGCATCTTTTGGAAATTATTTCGTAGTATTCTAATTTTTTTACTTTATTTTTTTTCATGTTTCAATGTTGTAGCCAATGTTTTTTATATGAAATCAGTTTTTAGGTTCTTTGCGGTAGAGTTAAAAAAGTAAATAACAAAGAACTTGTGCAGTTATATCATGCGCTGAGTGCTGCAAATGTTCTGAAAGATTGTGCACTTTCCGTACCAAATGCTAGAGAAACTGTAGAAGCTGTTCTAAAGCAGGATCCTATAATTTCTCAAAACTTATATTTTGCTCTTGCTGTGGCTAGCTATTTAAAGCTCAAAGTAGATTACGACAGCTTTTCTAAAGCTTTAACTTCTGCATTAGCGAAAGATGATGGAGTAATGAGGTTATTTCAAAATTTTTTGTCTTTTGCTTAATATGCGTTCAAATTATAAAAAGCATAATTATATCTGTCTGTGAAATATAGTCTGCTAGTCTTTTTGTATCTCTTATTGAATTCGAATTTCATTTCATAGGTCCATAAATTTGAAGAATTTGACGCGATAAGTCTACCTGTGTTGCATTCCTGTAAAAATTTTTTGCTGATAAAATTTACAAAATGTAAAATGATCTTGAAACAATCCAATTTTTGTTAACTCATATTATTTTTAGTCTTGCTTATGGTTTGAATGCAGCAACTTTTTTGGATATCAAAACTGCGGAAAAATTTTCAGTACGTATAGAAGATCTGATTGGTCAAGCAGATGAAGTGGATGGCAGGTTTCTGGTTGTAAGTCTACTGTTGCATAACATATTTAGCTGAAGAGCAAAGTATGAATTCATTATTTCGAAGTATATATTATTTATTTTTCTAGCTAGAAGGTGGTTTATCAATCACAGCTTTTGGTGTTCACGGAATTTACAGCTTGGCCGATAAGCTCAATAAATCACCAAATGTTAAAAGTGTTGGTTCTTAAGCGTATAATAAATTAATTGATCAAAGCATTGTGTATTTAATATTGTGGTTTTTGTATAAATATTTAGTATATGCAGCTCGTCAAAATATCTTCAGTTTTTGTATTCATTTTAATCCCATAAAGTACAGTATAATTTTATTACAGGATGAAGCAGTAAAATTGGCAAATTATTTACTTAGTCGTCGAAATGTACAGTCATATCGTGATGCTCATCTTCTATTATTGACACTGAAAAAATTTGCCAGCAATAGCTTTCAAATTCCTGTTGTTTTCTCATTAGCGTCTGAAATGTCGATTGATACCAGCAAGGTAGAAACTAAAATAATGAGTGTTTTATATGGACATGAATTTTGTAGAAACCTTATAAAATTTCTTCGATTTTTAATTTTTATACCGTCCGTTATGGTTGTTATTCTTCAAAACCGTGGTTAATTGTATGAGGTTCCTACAAATTTCATGTCGTATAAGTTATTTCTGATTACTAAAAGTAAAATTTATTGTAGCCTTTGGTTATTCGTGTCTCAAATGTGTTGGGGGAATCAGTTGGACCGCTATCAGTAACATTGGATACGGCAACGCATACTGCTTCTAAAGAAGTTGTAGCATCTCGGAAAGCACTAAAGCAGCTTGCGTCTGATAAGACGAGTACTTTGTATGAAATGTCTATTGAGAATGCTAAACAACGCGGCTTTTACAAAATAGTATTTACTGCTGGAAGCCAGGTAGTTTCTTTGCTTTTCATGTTTATTATAAAAAAATGGAGGGTGATCGAAAAGCATATTCCTTCGCCGTGAATAATAAAAGTTTGCTTTTACGTGTTAAAACAGATTTATTTTCGCATGTAATTCAAATTTCTTCTATCTTGTATCTAGGAAAGGACATGTACATGAACATTTCTTAATGTTCTTGATGATGCGAAGTCTGAAACTCATCATGTCATTGTTTGTTCCTAGGATAAGCGTGTGGTTGGGACAAATGGCGCATCTTTGATGGTAAAGGTAATGACGAAAGTACGTATCGAAAATGTTACCTTAGCAGTCTTTGATCGAGAACTTGTAAAGCCGTCCTCTCCCATTTCGTATGTGTTAATTCATTAGGCATATTTAAAAGAATCAGTTATTTTATGGTTGACATGCAAACTGTTTGAATAGAATTTCGAGTTAGTCTAATATTGTTTTCGAGTATATTACTCATACTGGCTTTATCATCCCAGTGAGTTCTCTAAATGAGATTACAGGATGTTTTTTAGAGTCAAAGAAGGTTCAAAGTTAGGAAAAATTCTAGAAGCAGACGTGCATAGTAAAATGGAGATAAGGTTTAAAATAACAGAAGCAAGGACTGGCGAGACGATTGTAGTCCATCAAACATTTGTTGCATTCGTCCACCAAGTCACTCATCAAGAAATTATTTTTGTTGCGACACCAGATGCTAATCGTGGCTATGTATTTGACGTAGTATGCGTTATCAATTCCATTCTATTTTAGGAGTATTCCTGTTAGCTGTTATATAGTTTTAAGCATTCGGTTTTTTCCATTGAAGATTTGATATCTCTATCTTTAATTTTAAGAAGAAAAATAATCTCTAGAAAAGTTACACTTAATGTCATGTACTGTCGTGCATGTTTCTTATACTACAATATATTCACCGAATGTTCTGTCTCTTGGTATTTCTCCCGAAACTAATGTTTAAAGTTTAGGATTTCGAAAAAGTTGCAAAGGATTTTGAAGGCTTATCAGGTCGCTATACAGTACGATTGATAGTGGGAGATGCGGCGATATCCTATGCGTTTGATTGGAATTTGGTATGACTTCAGTTAAATATAAAACGTTATATTTCGTTAAATTTGTTATGCTTGAATTTCATGAAACTAAAGATTTTGAATGTGGAAGAGTTCAAATTTGGTTTTATTAGCAATTGATGTTCTGTCTGATATTATTGTAAACGTCTCATTTTGTTTTACTAAATTATTACAGGTGGATGTTAATCTCAGACTTCCATCATTACCATCTCAGAAAATTAAAAAATCAGAACGCGTTGTTTACGAAAAGTTGCCAGAAATCAAGCATACATTTCGAGAGCCGGAGAAACGACCACCACAGACTGTTTCAAATACTTTTGTTTTCCTTTGTGCATTTCCACTACTTATCGTTCTCATTCTGGTGCGTTGCAAACATGATAATTTTGAAGTAAACAGGTAAAATATAAACATTTCACTTTAAAATTTTTAGTGGTTACGCATTGGAATCAATTTCGGGAATTTACCGGCATCGCCTTTTGTTTTGGTTTTTCATGGAGGCTTAATAGGTAAGTCGATTTTTCTTGCCATTGAATTTTGATAAGTAAATCATAGGTAAGAGTCTGAATATAATCGTGTGAACGAATATCATAATCATTAAGTCTTGTTTAAAAAATTTGGCTGCATATTACAGCATTTATTTTATGGTTTTTCCTGCTTCGTATCGTGCAAATTATAAAGTCTAAATTTCTTAAAACTTGAAAAAAAATGACTTAAAATCTAGATTTCAATTCTTGTTAAAATAATCGTTTCTAAGTCAAATAGTTATACTTAGTTTGCATTTTTATATTTTTTTTTGTGTGTATTATAATATTTTATTTTTAGGAATATTTGGATTATATTTTGTTTTTTGGATACGATTAACAATGTTTGAAACTTTAAAATATTTATCATTGGTAGGGGCTGTAACATTCTTTTCTGGAAATCGTTTGTTGCGAATACTTGCTGCTAAGCGAAAGTAAGAGGTTTAAAATATTTGGTAAATTAATCATAGATAAGAGTCCAAATATAATTTTTGGATTTTTTTCATTTTAGATAAACAACTTAGTGAAGCTATATTTCTTAAAATTTTTACGATGTTTGAGCTTCAGGGAGCCTAAATTTCTCTCTCTTATTTAAAAAATATGGATATTAAAATAAAGATATTTCCTGCTAATAAGTAAAATTATTCTCCTGCATAAATTTTATGCTGAAAACGAAATAATCAGAGAAATTTGAGTCCAGTTAATATGTCTATATTGCAGAGAAAAGGCCGATTAATGAAACTCGCATATATTTCATCAAATCTCACTCACTTTCGATTTTGTGATTATTTTTTGAAAACTTTTTATTGTAGGTATTTAGTATTTTGCCTAAAAATTGAATGATTGGGAATGCTTTATGTTCTCGAAAAGAATTGTTGGTTTATATTGTTGTATTTTTTTGCAGGACTGTTGACCCAAAATCTGGGTTTTTTACTGCTTTTATTTCTCTATCAAGATTTAATAAATTTTTAATATGTTTGTTTTCTAGTGCGACGTTATTTTTGCTTTCATTAGGCTTTTGGGAAAAAAGGATAACTTTAAAACTTATGTTTTCAAGTGTTGTTAAAGGTTAAAGACAAATTCTTATTAAGAGTTTCTTTCGTTGGATATCAGAACTTCCTACCGTTTGTCATTTGACTTTACAATTTCAAATTCTTTTTTTTTCGATAAATGTTATTAAATACGTATAGGTTATTGGTAACAGTTTTCCTCTCATTGTTCCTATGTTTTTAAAAGCTGTTTTTAGAAACATGAGGCTGTTAACAACGCAGGAACTAAGGAGCTTGTTTGTCAATCATGTAGGTCTCACAGGATAATTTGGTGAGTTTATATGGTTCGAGAGCTTGTGAGCTTCAAACCATGTAAGGGATCTAGTCTAGTCACGGCACTTCGATTCTCGGAAATTTGGTTGTTAAGGAAAGTCAGCTGTTTCTCATGGTTTATATACTAGGTAACCAACTCCGTTATTAAATAAATTTATTCATTTCGGAATTGATTCCGCATGTGAAGAAAGGAATTATTATTTGTTTAAGTTGTTACAACAGTGGTGGAATCACTTTGGATTATTAATCATTGTATTTTTAGATGACATTCAGATCTATTATCAATTATATTCAATATTGTGCACAAATTTCAAATTCTATATGGATTAAAGTTAACAAGATTAAAAGTGTAGTTAAATTATATCAGTGATAAAATCAGTGAAATGCGCCTTTATCCAGAATCCCAGTTGAACGACCAACTCCGTATTCTGTAAGGGTTTTTTACATTAATCGCAACCTTCATTAAAAATTAGCAAGTTTTTGATTTGTTTCATTAATTAAATTGGAGTAAAAAATCTGTCATGAATCGACGAAATTTCCCATGCATGGTTTTTTCTTACCTTCTATCTTGCGTTTATCCCTCTCCCTTATCATTATAACGATTTGTAATGATTAATGCAATATAGAACATGAATATTAAAAATAATGGCAGAAATTTTAGCCACAAATAATAATTATTAGATGTAAATTCCATTATTTCATTTATAAAAATTTATCAGAGGAACATTAAAACTAGCCAAGTTTATAATTTGTACTTTTCTTTGTGTCATTGTTGTTATGAACTGCGTTGTTTTCAAACAGTGATTTCAAATTTGAAACAACTCCTGAAATGAAAGATGACAATGTTCTCTATGCATTAACTTTCATTTTATCAACAGAGCGCAGTTTGATGAAATATAACTGTATTATAGCTTTAAAATTTGTCAAATCTACTTATCAATATGCAACTTGAACTCTATAACTTTTGTGAAAATCAGGTTATTACTTTTAAAGCTTTCATAAATTATAATTCGGCAAAAAATAAGGAAGTCGAATTTGTGATAAGGACTGATAACAGATGTTTTGTTTGAGTTACTAAACTTCTTGAGATCTATTTCAGTCACTAAAGTATCTCAGCTTTGTTTATTTAAATAAAGTTATCTAACGACTGAGTAACAGTTTGTCAAGCAATAATATTCACTGAAATTTGAATTAAATGGAAGTCTTGTAAAATAGTTTAGATATGGAATCAGTTTCATTCTATTTATATTCATAATAATATGGTAAGCCATTAAAGTATTAACAAAATATAAATGCAAAAGATCATATCATACTTTCAAAAAAAGATTTTAACCTTTTGTTGGCATTTCGGTATCTTCGATTTTGGGCCTCGATGTTTTTACAGGACTACTTGACATCTATAAATTATCAAGAATTCTTCATTCATTTTAGCTTGAAGATAAAATTTGATATAAAATTCAAAATACCGAATAATTTGGTGTAAACAGTAGAAGCTATTTTCTAGTCAGTAATAAGTTCGTTTGGATGCAAAAATAGACCTCAACGTTTTTACTGAATGCTTCGAGTTTGCTTGAAATTCTTCCGATATCATCATGCTTTTTCGACGCATCTTGTTTTGAGGATAATTTCTAGAAAGTTTTAGTACACTAGTCATTTTGCATTGTGATGTTAAAGTTTCACTCCTTCATGTTTACAAATGCAGCTACTCAGTCATTTTTTGAATATATCAATATAAAGCTAACTTTTGGAATACTGTCTTCTTTGTCGTTAATAGCAGTAACATTTGTGATTAACTCAGTCTCATTAAAACTTGCGTCCAACAATTTGGAATCATCGTTTGATTTTGTCAAAGAACTGCACCGATCATCAATTAACAATGAAGCTGTGATCTGCTCATTTTCCGCTGCTGATCTTGATAACTTATCATTCAATGTGGTCGGACTTTTTTCAGGAGTAAATTCATCTTCATTACTGCTGCTGATATTGTTATTAATGAAACTGAGGTTGAATTTATCCAAATCATCAGAGGACATGAAATTTCCATTGCTTCCAAATTTTTCCAAAGATTCTTGAGAAACTTTTGAATTGTCGCTCCAGTGATCAGTGCCATTTATAATCCCAAGAGATTCTACTGTGTAAGCTGATTCTATTTCAGAAGGAGCATAACTTTCTTGCTCTACAGTCTCTGATTCTTTGATGATATTTTCATCCGCTTCTTCAATATTATATTCATTCAAAAAAGTTCTCCTTTCTGGCTTCATCGGATGCTCATTATTGTCAAGTCTCATTAATTCTAACTGTGTGATTGCTGAATAATCCTGTAAAAAATTAATTCATTTCTAGATTGCTAAAGTAGGATTATTATAATTTTTCAAAGTATTCGTTAGAAATACAAATAGCATAAAAGTAATTTTTTATCAATTAAAAGATTATTGATTTGTCAAATATGGATTTTTATATTCTTCACATTTTTAACTAATTTTTCTAACTGTTACAGAAAACTTTTTGGGAAATAAAACTTTTTATTAGAAAGTCACTGAAAAATCTGTCAATAAATGAAGTGCTTAATTTGACATCGCTAACCTGATCGTTAAAATCATTGCTTTCAGTGGTCAAAGGTAACGTTTCTAAGTCGTCTTCTTGAATTACACTTCTGACATTCTGCAGTTCATCTGAAATACTTTTTTCAAAATAGAAAAGAAGTAGGCAATGATATTTCAATTAGATTCAGGAGAAAACAAGTGAGGAAACATTTTTTGAATTTATCGATTAATAATTATTTGATGTTTTGACAATGAGTAATTTCAGAAACTGTTTGAGAAGAAATTAAACAATTCAAAACATCAAATGTGCCCAAAATGAGTCAAAAACTGTGTGAAAAAAAACTTAAGCCAGAAAGTTTTTGCATAAAAAATCAGCATTTTTTAGCCAAATTAAATGAACCTTTCGTGTAAGAGAGGCATTCACCATCTAAACTTTCATCCATATTTCAGGCAGAACAAAGATAGTGCTGTGCTATTCTGTGCTGAATGAATATTCCTATAAAAACTGACAACAATGCATTCACAAACGAAATTATTGCACTGTTAAGGCGTACAGTTTTTATTGAAAAATATAATTGAGTACATTCCATTTAAATTAGTTATTAGTTAATTAGTTCATTATTAATCATAATCTATTCTAAGACCTGAAAAGAACATTTTATGGTATAGTCTAAGCTCATGAAATAGTATTTTGCATGCTGTTTATACTTGCATAATGGTCATCTCATTCCTTCAACAAAGCTCTAAACATCGCAACAGCCTCGAAAAGTTGTTAATAAAAATCAGTGTGTGGCAGTACGAAAGAATACTATCAAAATTTGACTCCATTTGGAAAAAATTTGTTTTAAAAATATGACATTCAGAATCTAGTTTGTACTTTCTATGACATGTAATATGACGGATTGAATAACAAACAGTAAACGTAGTGAAAGAAAGTATTTTGTTACTTAACGAGACAAAAGAAAATCACAGTTAAGTCAAATACGCCATATTTTTGAATAATTTTGCTTTGAGCAAAAATAATAATTGACTTTTAAAAAGTGAATAATAATTATTCATGCGGTGATGAAAGATTTTTGATTAGCATATGTGAATTAAAATTCTTTCTTACTGCACTGCAAGGTTAGCATAGAAATGTTTGTCTGACAGTTTAACGTGCGTTTGCAGCGATTAAACTTAGCGTGAAAAAATTTATGCAAATATATATGTGAACTGCTTGGAACAAAAAAACATCTGGTACCGTTTGAAAATGGCAAGTAAAGTGAGACTGATAGTCATTTAATTTATTCATTTTCACAGTTAAGTCTAATTTCTGAGCTGATTTCCTTCTGCCTTCAAAATTCTTAAAATAAATGCCTCGGAATTTATTTAAAAAACTGGTATTTATTTTAAATAATAAATGCCTGAGTATTTATTTTAATATAACTTTTATCATGAGGATAAAAAACCTTATTTTCCAACAGCATTATTAACGGTAGTGTTAGTTTTAATAGCAATCTTTTCGTTAACATTCTTATCACTTATAGCACTAAAAATACCGCTGAAATAATGCTGCTTAACAGTAGGACAATCAAAATATATGAAATAAATTGAGTTTTTAAATAAATATCCATCACTAAATCCACAACTTAAAAGCATATATTCATAGTGATTAATTTCAAATTTAGCAAAATATGTATTGTAATATCTGCTGAAGTTTTTAAAATTTATGCCATTTCTTCACATAAAAACAACCTAAAATGAGGCATGATCTGAAATTTAAACTACAGAAATCAAAAACACTATTTATTAGCAATTCTGTCCCTTGTTCCCACCCACTTACCAAACTTTAAACTTACACAAACTTTGACGTTACTGACAAACTGTAAATGATTCACTAATTTTTCGCTATCGCTATAATTAGCATAGTTATAATACAAACATCACAGCAGATCATTACAGTGCAACTCTATCATAGAGTGATTCAGGAATATATGATAAAATAGAAGGGAAAATACAAGTTATTGTAGAGAATGTGGAAAGGGCTAAAAATTTGTTTTGCCATAATATTCACGTGAAGCGTTATTTGGTCCGAATGATTCGTTGTAATATCAAAAAATGCAAAATTTTTGTAAGAGTAATGGGAAAAGTCATAGTATGACTGATCAGATAGCACCACTGCGTGATAACACTTTGTTCATTAGATTAAACTTATTATTCACATAAATTAAAACTGATCAGTTTTTGAGAAATATTTGCAGTCTTTGCATTGTACAAGTAAATAAAACTGTCAGTAAAGAACAAGGCAAAATTTTACAAAATGCAATAAAATTTTTAGTGCGAAGTGAGTTTGTAATGTACTCAATGAAATTTGAATAAAGTTTACAAAACTTTCGTAGCAAAAATATTAAAAGAGATTCTTTGCAAACTAAAATAAGCACGCAAGTTTAAAATCCTTAATATGCACCCCCATGCAATTATGTGCGTGAGTATTTGGTGTACTGCAACTAATCCAAGACTAAATGCCATAAATGAAACAAATAATATCAACTTTATACATGTATGCAAATTTTAATTATCAATTAAGTACTAATCAATTTACCGAGTTTACATTTGTATAAAATTTAAAAAATAAAATAGTATTAATTCACCAAATAATTTGTCTCTGATAAAGTTGTAAATGACAATAATAAAATTGTAAATAAATATTCCTAACTTTGAAAGCGATTTTTTCGACACTAAATGAATCGACAAATAAGCATATCTATACATAATCAGTGATGGATTTATAAATAGTCAATAATTCAACTAATTTATCACCCAGTCTATCCATTACTATATTCCTGGCATGTAATTAACTAACACAAATAAGATCACATAAAAGATTAGTTTTGTTTTAGAACTTACTAACTTGATGTAATCTGATGACAACGGAGGAACTTCGAAACAACAAACAATTTCCATGTATACACCTTGACATGCAACTTACTTCTTAAAATGCAGTTTTGCAAGATTACATGAAAGCATGAAGTCCGTACTTTTAAATAATTCTAAGTAAGCTTTCTCCTCTGAAGTACTTGGATTTTAGTCCTGTGTAATACGTGAATCCATTTGTGAAAATTCGACGCACAAAAGTGCTACCTAAGTAGTAGGTGTATTGGATGAACTTCGTTGGCCTTACACAAGTAAGTAAATGCCAAATTTCTCTCAGTCATAAGGAGAAAGGTCCTTCTTGGCAGACTTTTGAATTTGAATTCAATTGAGGTGGATGAGTCATGTATGCATCATATGCAGAGTCTGAATTGTGTCTCTGTGTGCCTTCGGCACATTGCTGCCAACCCTTCCACTTTTCGCATTTCATCTCAAATGCTAATTACTATTGCATATGTGTAAGTGTAAGTGTAAGAAGAATATGTGTGTGTGTGTGTGTGTGTGTCTGTATATGAGAATGAGTGCATTGCAAAAATGACAGACCCGAAATTGAATGAATGCAAGATAGATAGATAGATAGACAGATAGATAGATAGATAGATAGATAGATAGATAGATAGATAGATAGATGGATAGATAGATATAAATGTGCATGGAGCTGAAATATGTGCATATGATGTAAATGCATGCATACATAATTGATATATATCATCAAATAAATAAATAAATAAATATACAAATGATGATCGGTTTGAAATTATTTGGGCAATCAACTTGGCATTTATTCATCCCTAATGGCATGAGATAGTGGTCATCGTTGCAGATAAATTTGGCCTAAAATTTAGTAACAAACCATTCTTTGAGCAGGAAATTGATGCAAAATTTAAAGCATTATTATTATTATTTATTGTTAATATTATTATTGTTATTATTATTATTATTTACTGTTATTATTATTATTATTATTATTATTATTATTATTATTATT